TTGCACTCTGACAGAGGTGGTGAGTTCGCCTCCGACCTCTTGGCAGCCTACTGTGCTGAGCACGGCATCGAGCAGTCGTTCACGCTTCCGGCCTCTCCACAGCAGAATGGGGTCGCTGAGCGCCGCATTGGCTTGGTCATGGAGGTCGCTCGTACCTCCTTGACCCATGCGGCTGCTCCCCACTTTCTGTGGCCGTTTGCGGTCCGTTACGCAACGCATCAGCTCAACCTCTGGCCCCGTGTCTCCTTCCCGGAGACTTCCCCGACTCTGCGGTGGACGGGAGAGATTGGTGATGCGTCGCGTTTCCGGGTGTGGGGATCCCGAGCCTTTGTCCGCGATACGTCTGCGGACAAGATCTCGCGTCGCGCTGTTCCCTGTGTCTTTCTTGGCTTTGTCCCCGACGCGCCTGGCTGGCAGTTTTACCACGTCGCCTCGCGCCGGGTTCTGGCCTCTCAGGACGTCACTTTTGACGAGTCTGTCCCCTTCTACCGCCTCTTCCCCTACCGCACTGCCCCACTCCCCCCACCGCCGCTCTTCCTCGCACCAGGTGCTGCTGTGGTAGACCCCCTCCCCCCTCAGGGTGCCGCTCCCTCAGGTGTGTCCCAGGTAGACCCGGTTGACCCTGTTGAGGTAGCTGTCGAGTCCCGCCCTGCCAGAGGTGCTGAGCCTGAGAGTGCGGAGCCTGACAGTCCCGAGCCTGGGGGTGCGGAGCCTGGGGGTACTGAGCCTGGGGGTGCGGAGCCTGGGGGTGTGGCGACTGGGGGTGCTGCGTCTGGGGGTGTTGAGCCTGAGCGCACTACGTCTGGAGGAGCTCTCTCCTCCCAGCAGCTGCAGGAGAGGTACCTACAGTACTGCCGCCTCCGGAGCGGAGCTTCTGGAGCTCGTCCCAGTACTTCCCCTCCTGCCCAGGAGCTCCCCCCCATTCAGCAGATCCGAGAGTGGTACGCGCGGCGCTGCAGTCTCCGGAGTGGTGCCCCTGGTGCTGAGGACCTGGACGTTGGCGTTGTCGCTGGTGCTGAGGACCCGGGCGTTGGAGCTGCTGCTGGTGCTGCGGACCCGGACGCTGGTGTTGTCACTGGTGCTGCGGACCCGGGCGTTGGAGCTGCTGCTGGTGCTGCGGACCCGGACACTGGCGTTGTCGCTGGTGCTGAGGACCCGGACGTTGGCGTTGTCGCTGGTGCTGAGGACCCGGGCGTTGGAGCTGCTGCTGGTGCTGAGGACCCGGACGTTGGCGTTGTCGCTGGTGCTGAGGACCCGGGCGTTGGAGCTGCTGATGGTGCTGCGGACCCGGACGTTGGCGTTGTCGCTGGTGCTGAGGACCCCGCCGCTGCTGTCTCTACTGGTTCTGGAGCCGCTACGCGGCCGCGACCCTACTTTGTCCCGCTCCTTCAGCAGGTTCTTGGTCTCACGCCAGTCCACTCGCAGTCACAGTTACCGCCCGCCTCCCCTCTCCCTGGTCCCTCTCCCTACACTGGTCCCACGGGAGGCCTTACTGAGCGTCGTGCGCCTGAGTCACGTCCAGCGTCGCCTGTCCGTACTGCGCGCACCGGTCGTCGTGCCCCGCGTGAGCGTCCTCCTCCTGTCCCGGGCACTCACTACATGACTCTGCGTCCCTCCACTGCTCCGCAGCGTGTCCCGCTGCCGTCTCCTCCTGAGTCTTCGCTGCCTACTTTTCCTGATCCGGAGTCTGACTCCCGTCGTGCTGCCAGTCCCACTGTCACGCGTTTTCTCGCTACTGTCGTCACTGACCCGTCTTTTGAGTCCGCTGCTGCGTCTGCTCTGGTCGCTGAGCTGGTTGACTTTGCTTCTCGCTGTCGCCTGGACTACGCTGCTAGCCTAGTTGCTGAGTCTGAGTCTGCCTGTCCTCCGTCCGTCGGGGGTGAGTGTGCTCTTGGCACGGACGTCCTTGAGGACAGACAGGAGGAGTTTCACTGCTTTGCTGCTGCTGTGCCTCATCTCGTGTCCATGCTTGTTGCCCCTGAGGGAGACCCGGATGCACCAGACATCCCGACCCCGCGCTCCTACACTGAGGCGATGGCGGGTCCCTACTCCTCTCAGTGGCAGACAGCCATGGACGCAGAGATGGCTTCCTGGAAGTCCACTGGCACTTACGTCGACGAGGTTCCCCCTCCTGGGGCGAACATCGTCAGTGGCATGTGATTTTTCAGGGTGAAGCGACCGCCGGGTTCTCCGCCTGTCTTCAAGGCGCGCTACGTGGCTAGGGGCTTCAGTCAGCGAGAGGGAGTCGACTTCTTTCAGACCTTCTCCCCCACCCCGAAGATGACTACTCTTCGGGTGCTGCTGCACATAGCCGCTCAGCGCGACTACGAGCTTCACTCTCTTGACTTCAGCACAGCTTTCTTGCAGGGCAGCCTGCACGAGGAGATCTGGCTGCGCCGCCCTCCTGGCTTCACTGGGTCGGTTCCCCCTGGCACCCAGTGGAGGCTTCAGCGGCCGGTCTACGGTCTCCGCCAGGCACCGCGTGAGTGGCACGACACACTGAGCACGACACTTGCGGCTCTTGGGTTTGCTCCCTCTACTGCTGACCCGTCGCTGTTTCTACGCACCGACACCTCGCTGCCGCCGTTCTACATCCTCGTGTACGTCGACGACTTGGTCTTTGCCACAGCGGACAGAGCTGGTCTCGCCCACGTGAAGTTGGAGCTGCAGAAGAGACACACGTGCACAGACCTGGGTGAACTGACAAGCTACCTTGGCTTGCGGATCACCCGGGACAGAGCACGGCGCACCATCACCCTGACTCAGTCACACATGGTGCAGCAGGTCCTTCAGCGCTTCCGCTTCACGTACTCCTCGCCTCAGCCCACTCCTTTGCCTACGGGACACTCGCTCTCAGCTCTGCCTTCGGATGAGTCCGTAGAGCCGAGTGGCCCGTATCCAGAGCTTGTGGGTTGCCTCATGTACCTGATGACCTGCACACGACCTGACCTTGCATACCTTCTTAGCATCCTTGCACGCTATGTCGCTCCCGGCCGTCACCGGAAGGAGCACATGGATGCAGCTAAGAGGGTGTTGCGCTACTTGTGCAGTACGTCGGGCATGGGGCTAGTGCTTGGAGGGCGAGACCGGCCTGTTCTCACAGGGCACTCAGACGCTTCTTGGGCAGACGACCAGGCTACTCAGCGGTCGTCACAGGGTTACACCTTCAGCCTTGGCTCAGGCTCAGTTTCCTGGCGTTCTACACGCTCTTCTTCTGTTCTCAGCTCCAGTTGTGAGGCTGACATCTACGCCACAGCCATGGCTGCCCAGGAGCTACGCTGGCTGACCTACCTGCTGACCGACCTTGGAGAGCGGCCTGGTTCTCCTCCAGTGCTGTACGTCGACAACAAGGTTGCTATTGCCTTGTGTCAGGAGCACAGACTGGAGCACAGAACGAAGCACATTGCTCTGCGGTACTTTCTTGCTCGAGAGCTGCAGCAGCGTGGTCAGCTTTGTCTGCGTTACGTGGCCACTGAGGCCAACACTGCTGATGTGTTCACCAAGGCGCTTCCGCCTGTTGACCATCAGCGCTTTTGCACTCTGCTAGGCCTTGTGCCTACTGGACCTCACTTGCTTACTTCTTGACCCTGCTTGTACTGTGATCACTATATATATATATATGCCTGCATGTTTACTTTTGCTAGGATGTGATCACTGTATCTCTTGCTGTGTTATAAACCTGCATGTGAACTGGTCTTGTGACCCCTGTTAGGTTTGGCTATCCCCCTACTTCACCTATGGGGGTGTGTCAAATTATATGATTTATATAATTTAGGTTTAGGTTTTGTAGGGGTGTTTCTTAGGGGGTACAACTTTTCTCTCGTCACTTTTGTACCCCATGCCCCAAACTAGTCGACATCATTCCTCTCTCACCATGACACACACAACGGGGCTCGATCGTTTATCACTAATGGTGGCGAGTGATTATCTTCATCCGTCATATTTCGGAGCAATGCACGGTACATATCACTCTGCTTGGGCTCTCCAGTGCCAACAAAACAAAACTCCGTATCTTCGTCGCCTGAGTCGTACTCTGTGTTAGTAGTATTAGATGACGAACCCATTGCGGCTAGTAGAAACGTTCCAACTGAATTACCTCCTAGAAGAGATACGGGAACAAAGTAGGATGTCAACCCTAAAACGACGAGAGAATAGGGTGTGTGAGGTGTGTTGCATCACTTAAAAAAAAAAAAGCGCGGGATATTGACTTAGCGTTTCAATTTGACTCTTATTGGCCAGAGGTTTTGTTTCGGCGTGTGTACCTTTTGTAGCATTGGTGAGTTTAAACATATATTCCATTTCCAGTAGCGCGATCTCATATGGGCGTGACCCTATATGAGCGCGCCTGATTGGACGCGCAAGATCAGAAAAGGGCCCGCGCATAGAGTCGACCAATCACACGCGCTCTTTAATTGGTCGCGCGTGTGGACAGTCGTGCAATTGAGTATATGATCGGGGATTCATATCTCTATGCGCGGATTGGTCAATCATTGGACCGAAAATGAGCGCGACTGTTCGCCGAACATGATCGTGTTGATTATTGTCGTGTATTCGAACGATGACGTGGCCGCTCTCGCGCACGTCACCCAGCCGAAAAAATCGGGCGGAAAAACACACGCCACGTTTTTGCGGGAAGAGTTACGAACGACGTGAGAAAAGCAGGGCTAAAAACCGGTTTTGGGTAATGTGCCGGATAAAAAAAAAGCCAGAGGAAACCTCTGGCAAGACCACTCGAGCAATTATCATCAAATTGTCCGACTACGGTAGCGAATTGAGCCTACGTGTGCAACGGCAAATCACCGTTTCCGGGTCTGGAGAAAATCTCTCACTTCTAAAAGCATGAACAATTTGGGCCGCCGGCATTAACGACTACAGGAAATTGAGGCTCAATAAGCGCTTGGGAATTGTCTTTCTTCAATCCGTTGAATGGGGGACGAGGCGCGTTCAGGCACTCAACAACCAGTAGCCGCGTCAGCACCTGCCGGCCAGCCACGGCAGCGATGCGAGGCTCTGGTGGAACTGCCTGGCCAATCGCGATCTGCCGCACGTGGCATCGGTGCAGTGTCGCCGAATCTCCGGCTGCCAGCTGGCGAGCTCCGATTGCACCGCCGCGGGATCGCCGCGCGGCGGCGCGCAATGGGTATCGCACGGCGGCAGCGAGACCTGCCTATGATGCGTTGACTCAGTCAAATCAGTCAGATCAGTTGACTCAGTTGACTCAGTTGACTCAGTTGACCCAGTTTACCCAATTGACTCAATCATCAACCAAATCCTCTCTCCCGCATTATATACAGTCGCTTCGGCTGCTGTCGCCAGTCTCCCCTATTCTTGGCGCGCAATTTCCTCCATTCCCGCGCGGGCGTTATGACGCGCAAGCCGCAATCTTTCCGCTGATCGCCCCCAAAGTCTTCTCCCCGCGTGGGCTGGCCAGCGGAGGGAGATTCGCTGTGGCGGAGGATTTGCGGGAGCGATCCGCAGCTGCAGAGGCTGCGGGGGGAAGGGGAGGAGGCGGAAGATGGGGAGGGGGGAATTCAGGCGGCTGGCGGAAAAAGGGTGCCGAAAAGGCGGCAGAGCATGTGGACGGGTGGGGAAGAAGAAACACCGGCGCGCGGAAAGGGGGGAGTTTGAGCGGGGGCGGAAGGTGGGAAGGGCTCGCAGGGGCACAGTCGACGGGGGGAGAGCAGGGCGCGCGGGGGAAAGAACGTAGCGGGTCCGCTGGAGGGAAGAGTGGGGAGGGCGCGGAGAAGCTTTCCCCCTCCGCTGGGCGGGAGATGGAGAGGTTGCGCGACAATCTGGCGCGGATGCGGCGGGAGGCGCTGGGGAGGGCGCTGGAGAGGGCGGGGCGGGAGGGGCGCGTGGGGTGGGCAGAGGCGCAGTGGCTGGTGGAGGGTATGATGAACAAGGGGGATGGCATTCGCGCTTACAGGGTGAGGACGGAGTGTTATGCTCTGTTGATTGACATTTATCTGGCCATTTTCCATTGAATTCAGACGTAGAAATCGGCACAGCACCTGCATCATGCGCCCTTGCATGCATGTATGCATGTAGGGAGCAACGTCAATTCAGCCCACCCCCTCTTTCTCCCTCGTCTCCCTCAACCTCCCAACTCCCCCTCTCCCGTCCCTCCGGTTCTTCCCTCCAGATACTCCAATGGGCGCAGCAGCAGCCCTTCTACTCGAAACCACTTTTGAAAATTGGCGAAACCACTTTTCACAATTCTCGAAAGTGATTTCAATACATCCAGCAGCAGTCCTTCTACTCGCCCGCCCACAGGCAGGGAGGGCGCAATCTCATCTCAATGCAATGCATGCCACACCTCTCTCACATTTCCTCCCATCTCTCCCGTTCCCTCCCTCTCACCTCCCCCCTCCCCCCGGCCCCCACCCGCCCCACCCCTCCAGATCCTCCAGTGGGCGCAGCAGCAGCCATTCTACTCGCCCTCCCCACCGCTCCTCTCCTCACTCCTCCTCCTCCTAGCGCGCACGCACCGCATTCCACCCATGCTCGCCCTTCTCGACCACTGCCTCTCCCTCCACCCCCACGCACCGCCAGAGGCACAGGGCAGTGTAGGGCCCTCTTCCCAGGCGCTCGTGCCTTGTGTGTCCCCTGAGTCGACTGAAACGGCACCTCTCCACCACACAGCAGTGCCAATGGGGTCGGCTGTGCCGGCGGGGCCAGTGGGACCGGTGGGACCGGTGGGTCCGGTGGGGTCGGCTGTGTCGGCGGGGCCGGTGGGGCCAGTGGGACCGGTGGGGCCGGTGGGTTCGGTGGGGTCGGCTGTGCCGCTGCGCGTGGTGCAGACATGCATGGGCGCGCTGCTGAAGTCGGCGCATGATGAGATGGAGCGCGTGTGGGAGCTGTATGGCATGGGGGAGAGAGAGGGGGGCAGGGGCAGCACACCCGACTGGCTTGTCAATCAGATGTTCGAGGTGCGTGGATGGGTTGTGTGAGTGGGTGAGTTGGTGAGTGGGTGAGTGGATCAGTGGTAGAGAATGGAGGTAGAAGTGAGTGGGTTGTATTGCTACGCATGCTGCTGAAATCGGCGCATGATGAGATGGAGCGCGTGTGGCAGCTGTATGGCATGGGGGAGAGGGAGGGGGGCAAGGGGCAGCACTCCTGACTGGCTTGTGCAGCAGATGTTTAAGGTGCGTGACAATGAGTGCAAGGGGTTGAAAGAAAAGGGGGAGAGGCAGGGGCAGCACGCCTCACTGGCATGTGCAGCAGATGTTTGAGGTGCGTGGGTCGGTGGGTGAGTGAGTGAATGGGTGGGTGGGTGGGTGGGTGGGTGGGTGTGAGTGGGTGTGAGTGGGTGGGTGAGTGAGTGGGTGTGAGTGAGTGGGTGACAACGTGCATTGCCCCTTGTGCTTTGTCCCCACCTCTTCCGCTCCCCACCCCACACCACAACCTATCCCGCCACCCTCTCCTCCCCCTTCGTCCTCCAGGCCTTTTCCAGCCCCAAGTGGCGAGGATGGTACATGCACAAGGCAGAGGCGCTTCTACAAACGCCCCCTCACTCTCCTTACTCCCACTGCCCCCCACCTCCCTCCCCTGCTCCACTTCCATCCCCTTCCCTCCCCCTTCCTCTCTGCAGGCCTTTTCCAGCCCCAAGTGCACAAGGCAGAGGCGCCACATGCACAAGGCAGAGGCGCTTCTGAAAGAGATGAGGGAGAAGAGGGAAGCAAAAAACCATTTTCACCACTTTCTACCACTTGCCACCGTTTCCTCCAGGCCTTTTCCAGCCCCAAGTGGCGAGGCCGCCACATGCACAAGGCAGAATCACTCCTAAGAGAGACGAGGGAGAGGAGGGGGGAAGGGAAGAATCAGCAGCGCAGCTCGGCCCCTCTGCTGCACATGTACGCGTCTCTGGTGCGGCATCACGCCAGGGAGGGCCACGTCAGCAAGGTGGTAACCCTGTTACAGCAGATGCGGGACGACCTGGCGGCATCGGGACGAACGGTGCCGCCCCAGGCAGTCGAAGCGGTGGTGTTTGCATGCGCCCGGGCGGTGTATCTGAGCAAAAAGAGGAAAGAGAAAGGGGGAGTGGTGGGGTCGCAGAAAGATATGGGTAGAGGAGGTAGGGGATACAGCAGAGGAGGCACAGGGGGAGGAGAGGAGGAAGGGGAGTTGGCCGCTGCAGCACTGGCTGATCATGTGTCTGCTGCCATGAGGGAATTACACGAGGCTGTGAGGGCTCGAGGAGGGGAAGGAAAGGGGGATCGAGACAGGAAGAGAGAGGAGGAGGGTGGAGAGAAGGGATATGAGGTGGGTGAGAGGGTGTGGGCGGCATATATGGAAACTCTGAACCATGCAGGGCGGTATGAAGCGAGCATTGCTGCATGGCCGCATGTCATGGCGATCAAGAGAGTGGCGGCAGAGTGGCAGGAAAGAGAGGAGGATGATCTGATGGGCGATGCGAGCAGAGGGAGGGTGGGCGAGTGGGAGCGTGCAGCGCGGGGCATGCGTATGGGAAGCAGAGAAGCAGCAGCAGATGCATACGGAGGGGAGAGTCTTTGTCTTCCCGGGCTGCGCGCGTGCAATGCTTATCTTGCAGCACTGGCAGGAGCAGCGGTGGCGAGCGGGGTAATGGGGAGCACAAGGGAGGCGGAGAGGTGGGGGGAGGAGGCGGAGGGGTTTTTTAGGGCCATGCTGCGGGCAGAGAGAGGGCCGCTCACTGCTGCTGTGAACGCGCTGCTGCACATGTACCTCCACCAGTCACGCCTCAACGACCTGGAGAGACGGTTCCAAGGGATGAAGGAGGTGCGTCGCATCTTGGGTTGGTATATTTTGGTTCACTTTGCTGGTCCCCATGTACCTCCACCAGTCACGCCTCAATGACCTTGAGAGACGGTTCCAAGGCATAAAGAAGATGCGTTGTGGGTTGGTATATTTGGTTATGCTGCTGCTGCTGTTTCTACTGGGCGCGCTGCTGCACATATACCTCCACCAGTCGCGCCTAAACGACTGCAGTGGTTTCAAGGCATGAAAGAGGTGGGCTCTTCTTGGTTGTAGAAGTGTTTTTGTGAATGCTAAAAACAAACGTGCTGCTGAAGATGTACCTTCCCCTTGTGACGCCTTCCACAGGTGGGCGTGGGGTGTCTCATTTTTGTGCACATGTTTTTCCTGTTCCCATTCTCGTTCTTCCCATCCTTCCACAGGTGCGGGCGGTGCCTTCTTGACCGCACCTGCTACCACTCTTGCTCCTCGGAGGACGATCGAACGTCCACAGGAGCACACGTCCAGTCCTCCTCTCCCTGCTCATCCCACACCTGTCTCATCCCACACCTGTCTCATCCCACACCTGTCTCATCCCACACCTGTCTCATCCCACACCTGTCTCATCCCACACCTGTCTCATCCCACACCTGTCTCATCCTTCCTTGGTTGATTTTCGTGCCTAACTCGCAGGTGGGGTGCCTCCCTGACCTACCTGACTGCACATGGCATGGCAGCGCCCAAGCCCCCGCTCCCCGCTCACCCCACGCGTGTTCCCTCCTTCCGTCTCTCAACCCCGTGCTTCTCCCGCAGGTGGGGTGCCTTCCTGATTGCACATCCTACCACCTGCGACTGGCAGCGCACACCAAAGCCGGCAATCTAGGCATGGCGAAGAAAATCTTCCTCGAAATGAACTCCAACCAGGACGTAGGCGTTGACGCTCACACCTACAACCTCATCATAGCTGCATGCGGCGCAGCAGGCGACACCAGAACGGTCCGTTCACTGTATCTGGACATGGTTGGGAATCGGAAGGACCGGGGGCGGAAACCCGGTATGGTGCTGGTGGGACCAGCGAGGGAAGCGGCGGAAGCTGTGGTGGGGAAGTTGAGGGTTGAGAGGGATGAGACGCGGAGCATGAAGCTGAGTAAGGAGCAGCGGCAGGTGTTGGCAGGGGTGCTGCTGGGTGGCGCGAGGATCGCGGCCCAGGACAACGAACGGACGTACGAGATTCATTTCGAGCAGCCGTTGGACAATCCTGGCCGTGTAGAGCTGCTGGAGGGGCTGTACAGGGCGTTTGGGTCGTGGGCGAGTGCCCCGCCCAGAAACATGCTCCTGCTCATGCCGCCCGCCCCAGACGCTCCTCCCGATGTTGCCGCAGCAGCCGCCGCCGCTGCTAATGCCGCTGCCGCATCCGTTTCTGTTTCTGCTGCTGCTGCTGCTGCTGCCGCGACTGCAACTGCTGCAGCTTCTTCCTCTGCCCCACCCGCTGACGTCTTAGCAGCGGCGGGGGTTCGTCCCATCCGCGTGCGTCACTTTGCCACCATCCCCCACACGGCCCTCCGGTACCACGCACAGCGCTACCACCCGCAGGGCCCGCGGGTCATTCCGAAGCTCATACAGCGCTGGCTCACCCCTAAGACGCTCGCGCACTGGTACATGTACAGTGGGCGGCGGTGTGAGGAGACTGGGGGGATGATTCTGCATGCAAAGCAGTACTCAAGTCGAGATTTGAGGAGGATTGCGCGGGCGCTGTGCGTGTCGGTGCGGGATTGTAGCGTGAAGATGAGGTATAGGCGGCCGGGGCAGAGGGTGTTGGAGAAAGGAGGGAGGAAGGCGGGGAAGAGGACGAGGAAGGTGGCGAGGAGTGGGGAGGCGGAGGAGGGTGGAGGAGGGAGTGATAGGTTGAGGTGGAAAGCGCAGATGGGGAGGGTGGCGTTGGAGAGTCCGTGGGATTCCCCGAACCTGATTCGGTTCGGCGGATCCACGGCGACGAGGCTGTGGAAGTTCATGGAGGCGCATGTGCTGCCAAGCCTGCGGGATGAGCTTCGACCAGGCGTAAGGATGAGGGTCGGGGGAGGTGGTTTGGAGGGAGGTGGTTTGCTTTCAGAGAGTGGGGTGAGGAAGAGGGAGGATGGGTGGGAGGAGGAGAACAGGGAAATGATGGTAGGGGATGGAGGGATGGGTAGGGAGGGCAGAAAGGGGGAAGGGATGGGAGGGGAAGGGAAAGAGGGTGGAGAGGTTTGGTCTGATGATGCATGGGGCTCAGATGGGCAGGATGACAGGGGAAGAGATGAGGATGAGGAGGAGGATGAGGAGGAGGAAGAAGAGGAGGATGAGGAGGATGAGGATGGGGATGAGGAGGACGAGAAGGGGGATGACGATGATGAGAATTGGGACGACGGGGAGGATGAGATGGAAGACGAGGAGTGGGAAAAAGGGGAAGAAGTGGAGCATGGCAGGGAGGAGGAGGACAGTGTGAGGCGTCGCTTCAGCCCACGAGGAGATGAGAGGGTGCATTGGGAAGGGCAGCAACGGTTCAAAGTGGAGGATGATGATGATGCTGGAGAAGGGCCGAGCGATGAGAGAGAAGAGCGAGACATTGGCAGGGCAGGGCTTGTGCAGCAAGAGGAGCAAGAGGCGCGAGAGGGACAAGAGGAAGTGGGCAAGTTTGAGAGGAGGAGATTCAGTCGGGGCCGGTTTAGGGAGAGGGAGAGGGAGAAGGACACACGGGAGGAGATTGGGCTGAACAAGTGGATGCCTCTGGAGCAGGCGCTGTACATGGAGAAGGTGCAGACCCCCGTGTTCAAGAAGAAACCCAAGAAGCGATGATAGTGTTTGTGCTTGTGCGTACAGAAGAGTTGCCGTGTAGGGTTTAGGGCTTACAGGGTTCTATGAATCCGAGGGTGCAGACTGTCAGAGGTCCACTGGTGATCTCCGATTGATCCTAGGGAAGGGTTACAGGCACGTTGGCCTGGGGGGTTATGGGCGCACTGACCCGCTACTTAAACAAGCCCTTTTATCCCAATGGCCTAGTGGTTGGGATTCTGACATGGTGTCAGAGCGAAGGTCTCGGGTTCGAAGTCTGGTGTATGCAATTCGGGCATCCCAGTGCGGGGGGGTGTAAGAGGTCCACTGGTGATCCCAGATTGATCCTAGGGAACGGTTACAGGCACGTTGGCCTGGGAATTAATGGGCGCACTGACCCACTTTACCGTATGGCCCCGGATATAGGCGCCGTCCGATTAAAGGCGCCGGCGCCTCTATCTGGAGCATGGCGCTTATGGCCGTTCCTCGATTATAAGCGCCCCCCTTAGAAAACTTTAACATATTATAAGCGCACGTGTAAATTTAATATAATTTCTTGCTTGAAACGGTAACGAAATACATTTTTGCAACGAGTCAGATTTCAATTTCGCTTCGTTTGACTCGCGAAGACCTTGTGAAAGTTAGAAGAGAGAAGAAGAGAAGAGGGTTGCACTAGCAAGAATGGGGATACAAATAGCAAACCCTAAAAGGGTTGTACTCGCTATAGAGCACCCCACTACAGGATAGAGCATAAGATAACATTCTCACACACCCCCATAGCCAAAGTGGGGTGTAATAAGCAGAGCAAGCAAAGGAGTACAAGCTCAGGATGGATCACAACGTCACCACACATTCCGAGCACAAGTTCAAGAAGCAATAGTTTAAAGTTCACAATTATGAGCAAAGCTAGTAGTAGTCACAACGGGCAAGTAAGGAGGAGAGAGAGTGAGAGGATAGGAGATAGGAGGCGACGGCTGAAGCTGCAGACACACGGGCAATAGGAGGCACACTGGCACAGCGGCTACCGGAACAACGCTCCGGAATACTGGAGTTACTGGCCCCGCGGCTAAAGTAGCAGCAGACGAGCAACAGACCCACGGGCGGCTTGCACAGCTGGCTACGACTGGGCTACCGGAGCAACTCCCCGGAATACAGGCGCTGCTGGCGACACGACGGCAACCTCCATGCAGCTTCCCCAAACTATCCCACTCCCCCTGGCACACACCCGCTGCTACACCGCTAGCTCCACTCCCACGCACCCCCCTTAAACCCTAAACCCCAGTCTCCCACTCATCCACCCCCCTCAGCGATAGCTGCAGTAGTGGGAGACGGAGGAGGAGGAGGAGCAGGGGACCGCGCATACCCGCCACCCCCATACTCGTCACCCCCATACCCTGAGTGTGCGGTAAGCAAGCTCAGGTGTGCGCGAAACGTGCACAAGCGTGCGGGAAGCAAACTCGGGTGTGCGGTAAGCAAACGCAGGTGTGCGGGAAGGGGGGGCCGCAGGGTGACACGCGGGTCGACGGGGACGGGCGCACGGGTCGTCAAGGGCGGCGCGCGGGTCAACGGGGCCGCCGTGAAGGGCGACGGGGAACCGCGCGCGGGTTGACGGGGCCGCCGCGAAGGGCGACGGGGAGCCGCGCGCAGGTCGACGGGGACGGGCGCGCGGGTCGACGGAATGCGAAACCGCCGCGTGCGCCCAGGGTGCGCGGTGGGCAGGAAACCGCCACGCGTCCCGAGCGCATGGCGGGCATAAAACCGCCGCGCGAAGCAGGAAAGCCGCCGCGCGCCTCCCGAGGGCGACGCGCCGAGGGACGGGGCAGAAGCCCGCCGCGCGCCTCGGGGCGCACAGCGGGCAGAGAACCGCCGCGCGCCTCAGGGCGCACGGCAGGCAGAAAACCGCCACGCGCCTCGGGGCGCGCGGCGGGAAGAAAAACTGCCGCACGCCACGGGGCGTGCGGCACAGAGAGTAGTAGAGGCAGTTGCAGCGGAAGCAACGAGGTGGTGAGCCCACCCACAGGATCGATCCAAGGGGATCGACCTGCTCTGATAGCATGTGAAAGTTAGAAGAGAGAAGAAGAGAAGAGGGTTGCACTAGCAAGAATGGGGATACAAACAACAAACCCTAGAAGGGTTGTGCTCGCTATGGAGCACCCCACTACAGGCTAGAGCATAAGATAATATTCTGACAGACCTGACTGGCTTCGCGTCCAGTCAGGATGTGCTGGCATGACGTGTCTTCGCCTTTGTGTGAACCCAGAATGTCGCTTGCGCGAGATTCTGCTTTGCGACGCTATAACATTTCGACTCGGTTGAAATGGCAAGAAGAAAATGAACAATTTGGTGCTCTAAATATACAATTTCTTATCTTTGATTATATAAGCGCCGGCGCTTATGGCCGTTACTCAATTACCAGCGCCCCCCCTAAAAAAAATTATTTCTTTATAAGCGCATATGCGCTACCATCCGGGGCCATACGGTATTGTCAGAACATATAGCTTACTTATTTGTGTAGGCTATAGTGGGGTATCCCATAGGGGGTACAACCCAGTTAGGGTTTCCTATTTGTATTCACTTCGTTCATAATCATTCCATTCTCGTTCTTTCTTTTCACATGGAATCAGAGCAGGTTCCCCCCTAGGGACTGCTTCTAGGGCCCATCGAAGCGCGCCCCGAGGCGCGTTTTCCTTTTTTTTAGCGACCCGTTGTGTCGCCCCCAGCGGCCCGTCGCGCCGCCCTTCCCTTAGCGGCCCCGCCGCCCTTCGATCGCGGCTCCGCCGCCCTTCCTTAGCGGCCCCGCCGCCCTTCGATCGCGGCCCCGGCGCCCTATGCTAAGCAGCCCCGCCGCCCTCTGCTAAGCGGCCCCGCCGCCTTGCTCACACGGCCCCGCCGCCCTCTGCCACGCGGCCCCGCCGCCCTCTGCTAAGCGGCCCCGCCGCCCTCTGCTAAGCGGCCCCGCTGCCCTCTGCTACGCGGCCTCGCCGCCGCGTCGCCAGTGCACCTGCCCGTGCACCCGCCCGTGCACCTACGCGTGCGGCCGCCCGTGCAGCCGCCCGTGAGCAGCCTCCGAGCCGCCCCCGCCGCCCGTGCAGCCGCCCGTGCATCGCCCGTGAGCCGCCCCAACCGCCCGTGCAGCCGCCCGCGAGTCGTCCCAGCCGCCCGTGCGGCCGCCCGTGAGTCGCCCGCGAGACGCCTGCGCCGCCCAAGCCGCCCGAGCCGCCCGCGAGACGCCTGCGCCGCCCGAGCCGCCCGAGCCGCCCGAGCCGCCCGAGCCACCCGAGCCGCCCGAGCCGCCCGAGCCGCCCGAGCCGCCCGAGCCGCCCGAGCCGCTCGAGCCGCCCGAGCCGCCCGAGGAACCGATCTTCTGCTCCTGTGGGGCTCCTACTGCTCCTGGGCCGGCGCAGCTACTGTGCTGCCGTGTTGCTGTGTCGCTGTGCTACCCGACTCTTCCTGCCCGGTGAGACTGTCAGCTGCTACAATGGCCACCCCCAGTGTCCTGACTTTTGACGCTGAGGGTCGCGCCATTGACTTTGCAGTCAGGATTGAGGACCTGCAGCTGTACTTACTGTGCGATGCGATCGATGAGGTTTCTCTCTTTGACTTTGTCTCTGGCGCTGTCCCTGCCCCTCCTGCTGATGCTGACCCCACTGTTCGCTCCAAGTGGGCCACACGCGATGCTGCTGCACGTCTTGCTGTGCGTCGCCACCTCCCTTCCTTCGAGCGTGCACACTTTAGTCAGTGCAAGACCGCTCAGGCCTTGTACGACGCTGTAGTTGCGCGCTACTCCTCCCCTTCCACTGCTACACTGAGCCGCCTCATGCTATCGTACCTCTTCCCTGACCTTGCTGCCTTTCCCACAGTCACTGACCTCTTTACCCACCTTCGCGCTAGTGACACTCGCTACCGAGCTGCGCTTCCTGCTGCCTTCCTCGCTGAAAACCCCCCTCCCATGTACATCACCCTCTACTTTCTAGTCACCCGTCTCCCTAAGTCCCTTCGTGCTCTTAGGGACCAGTTTCTCTCTGTCTGTCCCACCACCCTCACTGTCGACCTCCTCGAGAAGTCCCTGCTAGCGGCCGAGAAGAGCATAGTCGCTGTAGGGGCCTCTCGTGGTGACCCGCGCACCCCCATCTATGAGGGGTGTTCTCCTTCCCCCCTGTTACCCTCTGTCGCCTCTGCTGCTGCGCCCGACCTCGTTGGTTTAGAGTCGGTCAGTGCGGCGTCTGCCCCCAGCGGTAGGCACCACTCTGGCAGGAGCAAGGGGGGTAAGGGAGCGGGTGGAGCTAGCGGGGGCGGTGGCGGAGGAGGTGGGGGCGGCGGGGGGAGTGGGGGTGGCGGTGGGGGTGGAGGCGGGAGTGGAGGTACTGGTGGCGGCAGTGGAGGCGGAGGTGGCGGCGGAGGTGGTGGTGGAGGTGGCAGTGGGAGCGGTGGGGGCGAGGGTAGCGGTGGCGGCGGTGGCGGCGGAGGCGGAGGTGGCGGTGGTGGAGGTGGTCGGAGTGGCTTGTCCAAGCGGAGCAGCACTGGGGTGGTCAGCGCCAGCAGCAACAGCAGCAGCAGCAGCAGCAGCGCTCTCGCGACGTCCCCGCCCCTCAGCAGCTCCGTGAGTGGTACTCGCAGCGTCAGCGTGGTGGGGCGTTCGGTCCCTGCACCTACGTCCTTCGCACCGGCGACCGCGCGGGTGAGCAGTGTGGGGGCACCCACACCGCTCGTAGCTGCTTTGCCCGCTTGACCGACGCTTGGCGCCAGCAGTTTCCGGAGGCCTTTGAGATCCCCCGCTGGGGAGAGCTGTCTAGGGCTGGTGTAGCTGTTTTTGATCTTGACTTTGATGCTATCCTTGCTGCCATGTATGCTGTGACTGTTAGTAACGATGGTGACTGTTACCGATGTTTCCCGCCCGACCCGGGCTTTGGTACTGCTGCGTGAGGTGCCAGTGAGGCTGCTGCTCTAGGTGCCAGTGCGTCTGTGCTCTCAGGTACTAGTGAGTCTGCCCTCTCAGTTACTGTGTCGACTTCTGCCTCTCACAC